ATGGTCCTAAGGACATTGCCCCCAGAAAAGCAGCCCCTTCTGGTGGCATGGAATCCTCAACCTTTTAGGCAGTCACCTCTACCCATACTCAGGGGCCTCTATCTCACCTCCTCCGGAATGACTAGTGTGTGTTCTCCCCCACAAGACCCATGTGCTCTTCAGGAGTCTCTCCCATCCACAGCTACACAGTGTTGGTGGTGGCACAGCCTCGGGAATGGATTGAGCAGGCAACTTGATATCACACAATGTGAAACTTTATTACCATACTTTTTAACACACCTATCTCAACAATGAAAACTTATAGCGAAATAATCATAACAACAACAATGAAAGAACCTGAAACAACTAAACAAAACTCAAATGAAACCAGATAATAAATAAATATATAAACAAAAAGTAATAAAGGAAACAAATAAATAAAAGAAAGAAAGAAAATAAATAAATAAATAAATAAACAAACAAGGAAGTAAATAAATAAGGAAATAAATACATTTTAGAAATCCAGAAAATTCCAGAGAAGAGGAAGAGGAGAGGCGTGGTGGAGACCTGGGACTGAGTAACCCTCAGGAGCTCACAAAGGTAGAGGGGCCAGAGGAGACATGAGCTCTAGGGCAGTGTCAACTTTCCAGCACACGTGGAGTGGGTGCTGGCCTGAGAGATGGGTGACCTGGTGCCTCTGGTGTTTGACCGTGTTTAATTGAGGGTTTTTCCTGGAGAGGCAGCTGCAAGAGAAAAGAGCCCCAACATGACTGCCTTTCCCTGGGTCTTTCCCGATTCTCAGAAGAACCCTGGCTGTGAGAAGAGCCCAGCCCCTATCCTGGCACCAGGACTTCTTCCGGCACGAGGGCCCTCCAGCTGCAGGTGGTGTCAGGAGTATTTGGTTGGGGACCACAGGCCAGTTCCTAGTAGGAGCGGCAGAGTTTCCTGGACACACACATGCAGTCACCCACCCGAGGCCCCCTCATCACAGGCCTCAGACTCACTGGGATCTGTGTTCTCCAGCCCTGTCAGGAGGCTCTCCACCTGGACTGTCAGCCCTGACTCCGGCATGGTGTGGAGCAAGAAGGTCCTGAGGCTCCTCAGGCTGTCCATGGACCCCACAAAATCTTCTGGGTATAGGTAGAGCCACATTTGGACAGTGGAGCAGAAGGCCCTGGGGACATAGGAGTGGGGCAGGGAGCCATGAGTGATTGGGCATCTCCTTGAGCTGGATGCCCCTTTGGACCACCCGGATGATGGGCTTCCCAGAGAGTGGCCAAGTGGGTCCCATGCAGCAGGGCGAGAAGGGGGACATCCTGTGAGGGCCATGTGTGGGTAAGAGGCTCCCATCTCCTGTGCATCGGGGGCTCCCCAAATTTGCCTCAATAGAGAAAAGTGAGGGCCATTGTGGCTGGGATTGGCTGTGGAGGGTAGGGATGCTCACAGGGCCAGGTTCTGAGGCACCAGCCCCACCTGCGGTCCTTAGCTACCCAGAGTCCCACCACAGCTACCTGTGCCCACTCCAGAGGGAAATCAACAGACCACATCCGTGGGCCACAAATCACAGAAGGCGGACACCTGCGTTTTTGCCCACCCATCCACTGCCAAGTTTCCCCAAGAGACCCTGGAGTCAGAAGCCCACTCTCATGGCCCCCAAACCACTCACATCTGTCCCGGAAGGAAGACTTCTTCCATGCATTGCTGCTGGTCCTCATACCTAGAGAAGGCCAGGAGAATGTCACCTCGTATATGCTCTGCCCTGCATGCACCAAGACGCCTGGTGGCTTTGACTAACTTTCTGCCAATACTGAAAGCTCAGGAGAGCTGGGAGGTGTGTGTGCACTGCTTCCTAATGGATAGGCCATGTGCCTGCCAAGGGCAGGTGCTTCACATCTATTGGGCCCATGAATGAACCCAACCAGGTCCCCCTCCATCCACCCTAGCTGTCCCCGCTCTGCCTCCAGGCAGGTCAGCGGCCCTTCCACATGCAAGCCACATGCTCCTTCCCCAGCGTGCAAACTGCTCTTCCTGAGGCCTCTGTCCAGTTGGGCTGAGGCAGAAGAGTTCCCCACAGGGGCAGGACAGGCACCCCGGGGGAAGTCCTGAGGCCTTGGAAGCCTGGCCCAGTGGATAAGGCCTGAGACCTACACTCCTAGGGCTCATCCTACTTGGTTGGCTCGACACCCCAGTGGGGTTCTCCTGTGAATATCCTACATCCCACAGAGTTGCCAGAGGTCCAGAGTGGTGCCCAGCATCCCATCTACCCAAGATATGGCCATGTCCCGGGGCCTGGAGGTCATACACACTTTTGACTGAGGAGCTCCAGCACTTTCTGGATGCTGAGCACCTTTGGGCGTCTGCACAACAATCCTTCCAGCCAAGAAGAGTGCCCCCTCTGCAGGACATTCACGAGGTCCTTCTCCAACTCCTGGCGGACCAGTGAGGTGAAGCTGTCCACCAGACGGGACACAGCCAGGGACGAACGCTTGTCACCTCCCTAGTTTCAGGGATCAAAGAGGGACATTTCAACCAGGAAACAGTATCATCTGCAAAATGTCTCACTGTCATACATTCAAGTGAAAAACCAAACAAAACGCTTTCCTTCCCTTCTAATTCTCAGTTGAAATGAAGGAAACACACGCACTCACACCCACTCGCATTTGGTGAGGCTCTGAAGCTGTCCCAAGGGGAGTCGCAGAAGCGGGTTAGACTCTGGTCACCTGCAACTCTCTGTCTTGTCTCACCTCCAGTGTCCTTGTGAAAAGTCGCCAGAGTGTTCTGGACCCACGGCTGACCCAGCGCCTCCACGCACGTGAAAGGCCACTATGAAGGGCTTTCCTGAGGCCAGTGTGTCCACTGAGGACTGGACCACAAGAGCTCATGGCTCTCTGCTTGTCTTGTCAACTCAAGTGAACGGACAGGGGCTGGAGGTGGACCGTTGGCACCTAGCTAGGAGGGTTCCAAGTTCTATATGTTCCATCGCCAAGGAAGTGAGGTCACTTCCTCTGGGACTCCTTACCTGAGTCCCTTTTTTCACACAAGATGGTTCCAAAGGCCACCTGGGGTGCTGGCTGCTGCCATCTTCCATGGCCTATGCACAAGTGGACAGA